AAAGGTATTTTTAATGTTAAATATTAATAAAAATAAAAATATATATATTTTTGGTATTTTTATCCTAAATATCCTAATAAATATGTAAATATTTATATTATATGATAAATATATTAAATATGTACAAAAATAAAATATTTAATATTTACAAAAAAAGTATATTTTCATAAAATATTTTCAAAAGATAAAATAAAATGAAAATCAGAAAATAAAATGTATTGGTATTAATTTTAGTATTTTTAAATAAAAGATATTATGTATTATTTATGTACAAACATCAATTTAAACAAATAAATGCCTAATAAATACAAAAATGGTATGAAAAATATTTTTTATATTTTTAATATTATGAGAAAAAATAAATAAGTCAGAAATAAAAAGAAAAGCCAAGAAAATGTTTCAAATAAGCACAATGGGCCAAGGGGGTTCAAAAGTAAACATAGGGTGCAAATAAGAAGTCAACTCAGGCCCAGCCCAAGAAGACTTTGTCTTCAACCTCAGAACCTGTATGAACAACAACAACACGCGTTTTCTATCTCCAGATTCCTTGATCATTTGCCAAATCTTGCAACATGAAACCTGTAGAGCTTGAAGCCACGATTCTAGACATATAAAGAAATCAATCTAACTCTCAAAAATGAGAGAGAATTTCTTCTCCCCCAATTCCTGACCTAGTTTTTGTTCCATGTTCAGACTTCAAATTCTCATAGCACACATAACATAAATGAAAACTAATTATATGGGCATGTTCAGGGCCATGAATGTGACATAATTTCTTCACAAATCTAAACCTAACAATGCCTGGATAAAGAGATAAGAGTTCATGAACTTACCTGTTCAGTTGGAATCGTATCTGGTGATGGAGGTATTTTCAATGCAAGGTGATGATTGGTATAGCTTCCTTGATGTCCAGGGATGCTATTCCAAGCTTTAGTTTGCTTTGAAACCAAGTGAATCGTGTTATGGCACTTCAACTGCAAAACAGAAAAATGAAAATGGTGATGTTGATTAGGAGTGTTACAGTCTGCTTCTAATGCTTTGGACGGTTTGTATGGATGGTAGGGAAAGTGTTTGAAGTGGTTTTGGCCAAGATGCACGATGGAAATGAGCTGTGGGATTCCAAGTGCAGGATGCCCTGTTTTTGTGCAGTTTAATGGTGATTCTGTGTTTGAGGATGTTTGGAACTTGGTTGGCTTGTGTTTCAGCTTAGGTTTGATGTTTAGAAAGTGTACAATAACTTTGCTTAAGGTTCTCTTGGCTGAGATGATAGTTAGTCTCTAGTTTGCAAGTTTTCTTCTCTCTTAAGCAACAAAGTATCAAGTTGTGTTCTAGACTGATGCAGGCCCCCAATCTATGCTGCAACCTTTCCTCTTGATCAGTGTGTTTTGCTTCTGAACTTGTGCCCAAAGATATGGCCTTGTACTTCTTGATTTGCAACTTTGACATAAAGTTCATCTTTTCTAAAATGGATAATTTGCTTTTTCTATTTAAGGGTTAAACTTCCATGTAATGCTTAAACACATAATGCAAGGCTTGAACACAAGGGGTTTGCATTAAATTATTGAGTGTGAATGAGATAAGGACCTGTAATCTAGCTTAAGGCATGCTGAGTTCAAAAATGCAAGGTTATGGACATGTAACTTGGTCATGAACAAAGTGAGTTTTTCCCAACTTGCCAAATTCGATTCTCTCTAACCATGAGGTTGTTTGATGAGTTCTTGGATATTTTGGAAAGCTTGGAATGTGTACTACAATCCATCTTTGTAATGCAAATTTAAATTCCAAGTGGAAGTATGTGAAAAGTGGTCTTGAAGTTAGGTAAAAACCTTGCCTAAAATAGGTCAAATTTCTCTAAGTTAAGAATGGTTTGGTACCCTTGTTCCAAAAATTGTAACTTGAGCTACAAGCTTCTTTTGAGGAAACTTTGTGAATCAAAGTTGTAGATTTTTCAATGGACTACAACTTTCATGTTTTGACTTTTCCTTGAATCCAAATGAATCTTGATGAGAAAGTGGGACAAAGTTAGGAAAAAATTAGGGTTTTTCATAACTTAGAAAAATTCTAAGTTATGAAAAATCTTCATTTCAAACCCTAATTTGTGATTTTGGATTTCTTGATGAACAAGTTTCATGATTTGGCATGTTTTGATGAAAAATGAATCTTGACACTTGATTTTGACCAAAAGGTCAAAGTTTGACTTTTCAATATACAGTCAAAAATTGATCAATTGACTGGAAAATTCAACTGTCAATTTTGTGCATTTGGAATCTTTTGAACTTGTTGAGTATTTCAAGACAATTCCATTGGGTCCTTGAGTCCATATGTGAGTTTGGTTTGCCATTGGCTAGGTCAAACAGTCAAAAATTGCCTTTGTGCAGTCAAAACCCTAAAAATGACCATTTTGCCCTTTTGGTGATGTGATCAAATTTCTTGTGGGATTGTGATCCAAACTTGATCAAATGGTCCATATGAGTTCATAATGTTGATGTGGGTCAATTTCCATGAGGTTTGACTGTCAATTGGCCACAGTTGACTTTTTCCCCAATACAGCTGATTTCTAGGTCAACTGTCCAATTGACTGGGCAAAGATTGGAATCAAGGCTTGAAACTTGGTATGGATAAACTTGGGAGTCCAACATGAAGCATGAAAGTCATCTTAGGCCTTTTAGGTCAAAATATCTTTGTGCAAACACAAACCCTAATTTGGGTCAACAGTGCTAGGAGAAGTCTTGCAGAGGAAACCCTAATTGTATCCTGAGCTCCAAGGGTCTTGTGATGAGAAAAATGTTGAGAAAATGGGAGGGCAAATTTTGGGGTACAACAACGTCCACGTTATCTAAAGTCACCGTTATCTCCCCAAATGGAAGATGGAAAAATTATGTCTTCAGGCGCCATCTCTCAACAAAAGCTGATAAAAAGGAGGCGTCCAACATGGTCAAGAAGCAATCAACAAACTCTAGGAGATGAAACTCTCTAATGATCCTCCTCACCTCCTCAGGCATGAGACTCTCAGGGAAATTCTTCAACTTCAAACCATGAGAAGCGACCTTCAACACCTGACGCTCCTGTAAGAAGCAAAAACAAATTATTATACATCAAATCTTGTAAGCCAAAATAAAAATTATGCAATTAAACAAAACCAAAAATATATAACTCGCCATGCCATATCCTACAAGCGCCATGGTCCGCAAATCATGTCAGCACGGACCTGTCTGAAGGTCCTTCAGGGAAATCTCCATCAGTGTGTATTGTTGGCTTTGTAGACACACGAGTCACGATGTTTGTATTAGCGGGGGACACCTTATCAACTCGCTCAGCAACAACCTCTTGCTTAGCATCTTGCACCACAGGCTCCACAATATGCTCCTTAACTACCGACTCCACAATAGGAACAAGAGCATGTACCTCCTCAGTAGGAGCATGTACCTCCTCAGTAGGAGTTTGTACCTCCTCCGTATGAGCATGTACCTCCTCAGCAGTGGATACTCTAAGACCCCGACGACGAGGTGCGCGAAACTGAACATTCTGCTCAACCATTCGTTTCCGGTGAGAATCGGTCGGAGGACGTCTAACCCGTAACTCTGAAGCCTGCACCTCGTCAACCCGGACTTCAACATCAGCTCTATCAGTGGTCTGTCCCGCAATAGAACCATCTCTGTCTCTGGTCCTCACTACAAAATAAGAAAATATTAGAAAAATATAAACTACCGGAAATTTCTAAATTTCTGATATTTTTCAAAAAAAATTGATATATCGAAAATTTCAAAATTTCCGGTATAAATGATAAGTGAAAATACCGGATATTTTGAAATTTTCAACAGAAAATACCGGAAATTTCACAAATCTACCGTAAATTCTTACTTGTTCACGAAATTTCCGGTATCCCTCAAAAATTTGAAAAATCCGATTGGTAACGTAAATTTAGAATCTGTGGTGAATAATTAGGATCTGAACAATTTGATCTTTTTATACCATTTAGGGAATGCCATGTATAATGTGGGGGGTGGCAAGTTAATTTCTCGAAGTAACACAAGATGAAAGAAAGTAACACAAATGAAAGGCCCGTAAGGCCCATTGAATTGATGAATCATATTGTACAAATGGAAAGCCCAATAAAACTAAGTAACCAAACTAATAGGGAAATCAATTGTTTCTAATAAATGTACTGACAATGAGAGTGATTTGGAGTGTTTGTGGTTGGATAATTTGGAGAGCAAGGAACAAAATGATTTACCACAACAAAGAAATTTGTGTAGAGAAAATGGTTGAGGAGGTGAAGCAAACTTCATGGAGTTGGATGCACATAAAATCAATCAATTTGAAATACAACATTTACAAGTGGTTTCTGAATCCAAATTCACTTGTTGGAATAAGCTGAACGAATCAGCCTCTGGTATTGCTGTTTTTTCCCATGCTGTTTTTTCTCTGTTGTTTTGCTTTTTTGCAGATGTTTTAGCAGTGGTCGATTGCAATGAGCTGCAGTAGAGATTATTGCAGACCTTCCATCAAGCTGTCTGCATCGTTGATCAGTTAGCTTGTATAAGTGATCAGTTCTTGTCTTTTCTCATCTTCCTCGTGGTGTAGGTGCTGGTTTTAGCATTCTAGAGAAAGGATTGTTGATCTTTTACAAAGATGCATTTTGGATTTTGGATTCACAGCGACTACAGAGTTCTTTTGAAACAAATGCACCTTTTGTATTGCAATTTACAAACCATGCATAATATAATTACTGCTACATGATGCAATAACGTGACATGTCAATTCAAAGATGAAGCTCCGGTGTATATTAATCAAAGCTATATACTTCTTCATCTACCAGAAGAACTAGTGATAGAAAAAGGATCAACAATAAAAACAGAATTCAAGAGCTTAACAGCTCCACATTTGTTCCATCATTGCATAAGAAGCTCTCAATCTAAATACAGAAAAAAGAAGAAAAAAAAAAGAAGATAAGTTAAATAAAAACACCACCATTCTTTTACATCATGTGTTGCTAAATGCTAGTTAGTTGTAGGTTCAATATCCTTTAGAAGTCCAACTATCTGCTGCATGGTTGGTCTCTTGAAAGGTAAATCAGCTGTGCATAGATATCCAATCTTTATAGCCTCCTCCATTTGTTCATCCAATCCCGTATCGCGAATTTTCGGATCAATAGCTCTTGAAGTTTGATTCTTTCTTACAAGTCCTCTAGCCCAACTTACCAAACTCGTTGCTTCTTTATCATCACTGTAATCATCTTCAACCGGTTTCTTTCCAGTTAATAGCTCAAACAGAACAACACCGAAACAATATACATCAGATTTCGGCGTTGGTGACTCAAATTCTGGTAGAGAAAACTCAGGCGGAACATAACCAGGCGAACCACGAGCAATCTCTTCGTCCAAACCACTTCCGAAAATCTTGGCAAGACCAAAATCAGACAACCTTGGCTCCAAATCATAATCCAAATAAACGCTGCTAGCTTTAACAGCTCTATGAGTTATTGGAGGGGAACATCCATGATGCAGAAATGCCAATGCTCTTGCAGTTCCAAGTGCGATTTTGTGTCGAAATCTCCAAGTTGTGAGTAGTCCTTCAGAACCAACGTTCTGAATTCCATTAGTGTCAGCAGCTTCTTCCCATGTGTCTGTGCTCCAATCATCAGTGCTTTGAACCCCAAGTGGCAAATCATAAAGCAGATTTTGCAAGTTTCCATTCTCCATGTAATCATATATAGCAATCCTTTGATCACCAGCTAAACAATAACCGGTTAGAGGAACTAGATTAGGGTGCTTGATTCTACCGAGAAACTCAAGCTCTCTTGCGGCTTCTTCGTCTGTTAATGTAGAACCAACAGCCAAAACTTTTACTGCTACATGAATATTTCCCGGTAGAAAGCCTCTATAAACAGGTCCAAACTTTCCTTCAGCCAAAAGGGTACCTCTATCGAAATTCGAAGTTGCAGATAAGAGGTCTGCAAAAGTTATATTCAACAACGGCTTCTCGAAGATTACTACTGGAACTGATGTTGCTTGTTTGACATCAGCAACCCAAGTTGTTGAATCAGTTTGGAAGGAAAATGGACCGGAAACATTCTGTTCTTCTCTGTATGAACCTTGTTTCACTTCCCACATTTTCTGTTTCCTTCTGCAACCGAATGCCAGAAACAAAACACCGGCCAGTGCTAATATCATGGAGAGGGTTAATGCAAGAGCTAGCTTCATTCCCCTGTGGTTAGTGTCTCTTCTTCTTTTGAAAAGACCCGGATTCGCAGCGATTGGACAACTGTTAACCGATCCGTAGAAATACGTTTGAAGGATCTCAGGTCTGATTTCTGAAGCACAGAGGGTTAAGTTATTGTAAGAGAAGTTGTAATTCTTCATCTTTGGGAGATTCTTTAAGATAATTTGAGGGACTGGTCCACTCAAATTGTTGTGTGAAAGGTCAATAACTTGGAGGTGTTTATTCACAAGTAAAGGAATTCTCCCGTCAAGATGATTCATAGAAAGATCAAGTGCATTCAAATTACCAAATTGCGATATTTCGTCAGGAATGTGACCAACAAGACTAGTTTTTGACAAGTTCAGATACTCCAATCCTAAGAGCATTTCAATCTGTGGGAATTTCTGTGTTGTAAATCTATTGCATGCAAGATTAAGGTGCTTCAAATTCGGCGAACTGTTAAAGTTTTGGAAAATTTCACCACTAAGCTGATTCTCTGACAAATCAAGATAAACTAAATGAGACCAATTGTAGTAGTTTACCTGAGAAATGTGACCTTGAAATTGGTTTCTGCTAAGGTCCAAAACCTCCAACTTCAACACAAAAACATCTGTAACAGAACCCTGAAACGAATTTCCTGATATGTTGAGACTCACAATTGACTTCAACCCTGAAAAATCTGAGACACCACCAAAGATATTATTCTCAGCAAGGTTCAATGTCCTAAGATTAGGAAAACCATCACCAAAACCACGTGGAAGTGTTCCATTCAACTGATTTTCTGAAAGATCAATTGAAACTAAAGCCTGACACTTGAGAATCCCTGAAGGAATACTTTTAACAAACATGTTGTGTGCAAGTTTGAGAACTCTCAAACTCATAAGAGAATTCAAAGTTTCAGGAATTTCCTCAGAGAAACTGTTTTTCGACAAATCAATGGTTTCAAGCAAACCAAAGTTTCCAATGTTGTTAGTCAATGAACCTGAAATCTGATTGGAAGAAAGGTTAAGCCTCTTGAGAGAGGTTAAACTCCAAAAATCAGAAGGCAAAGCAGTGATTTTGTTTCTGCTAAGATCCAAAGATTGAAGATTGTTGAGTTTTCCTAAGGTTGTTTCAGGTATAGGACCAGTGAGTCCAATACCAGAAAAACTCAACTCAATAACATGTTTATTTGCATCACAGAAAACACCTTTCCATGAACAAACAGAAGATGAAAAGTCATAAACTTTTGAGGATGATGGTGTTAAAACCATTTTCTTCAAAAACTCAGATACATAAAATTCATCAGTGTTTGGTTGCTGTGAAGCTAAATGCTTGAACAAAAATGTCAAAACAAGAACAGATCCAAACACTCCTAAACCCATTCTAATGATGTTTTAACACTTAGAAATTATGCAAAAGTTAAAAATTCAAAACCAAATTATCATTTTTTTAACTCCACTGAAATTTGAAACCAACCCTTTTCTGCATTTAGAATGTTGTAATGGAAAAATTGTTTTTTTAACTGAAAAGTTTATATGGCACAGTTGAAAGGTGAAAAAGGGTTGAAGATAAAACAAGTTGTGTTTTTGAAGAAACAAAAGCAGTTATAGGACACAAGGTTGTGGTTTGGTTTTGGAGTGAAAGTGTATAACAAGAGAATGTGAAGAAGGCTTGTCTTTATCTAGACTCAAAGATTGTAGAAAAGTTGTGATGCTTTTTTGCTTATGTGGTGTGAAAATGTTAATATTGATTTAAGGACAAAATGCATTAACTATTTATATAAAAAATTGAAGACGGATATTTTCAAACATTTTTTATTTTTACTAGTAATATTTAATCATCATTTAATTTGAATTATTTAATAGAGGTGTGAAACGAAACATAGTACTCCAGTAGTAAGATGAATGAAATAGAGGTGAGCAAGAATATTGTTGAGTGCAGTGGAGTGGGTTTGAGCTTCATAAATGAAATTGAAATATTGTTGAGGATGACGGTTGGTGATTGTAAATATAGTATTAAATATTTGTTGGTGTGAATTTAATGATTCTTTGTTGAATCACTCACTCAGTGTTTTTATCACCACCTCTATTATAAGTTAGTTGGAAAATATCTTTTGAATTTTCATACATTAACTAATTATATCATGGAAGAAAAATGATCACCGTCTCTTACTTTATTTTTTTTAATAAAAAATATAAATTAAATGTGATAGTATTTCTAATGTAAGCTAGTAAATATTTGCAAATCTTAATTTAACGGAAAAAATTTCAGTGTATATATATATATTTAAAATATAGATAAATTTAAATATAAAAAATAAATAAAAAATAGGAATAAATATGTACTCCAACCGATATTATAAATAAATAAAAATATTTTTAAATTTATTAAATATTTGATATACCTTATTCATATAAAAATCAGATATGGATACATTTTTATTTAATTAACTTAAAAATGAGATTTAAAAAAAAATTAAAAATTGTTGAAAATAAAAACATGAGAAAGTAATGGAAAGTTTGGATCCTTTGATGACCCTTAAAATAAGGTAATGTTGAGCTAATATTCTAAATTCCGTGACTTTTATTTGGACATATACATAATCCAGCTGATCCATGAATCGTTCAATGTACTAGTATTCCACTACCACCCCCCTTCTCTTTCATTGCATGATTTTTCATTAAATTTGGGGGATTTTATATTTATTGTGCAATTAATGCTTTTGGTGCAAGGAAAAGTTTTCACGGTTGTTACCAATATCTTAGTAACATCGGTCTCTTAATCCACTAAATCCCAATTATCTTTAAAATATTGTACTATGATGATGATGTTAAAGATGTTAGGATTCGTCTCCTTCCACAATCAACGTACATTCCATCACTTCACACACATATTTTCTTTATAAACTTAAATATAAAAATCTTATCTAGTACTATGTTTATTATATATATATATATATATATATATATATATATATATATATATATATATATATATATATATATATATATATATATATATATATATATATATATATATATATATATATATATATATATATATATATATATATACAAATATGATATGGTTAAATGTTATAATTAGGGGTAGGGGTGACAAAACGGGTCCGGCCCGTTGGGCATGCCTGTTTTACCCGCATGTTAGTGCGGGACGGGCCAAGAATTTAGGTCCTCACCCTCTAATGTGACCGTCCCGTTTTCTTCGCGAGCATGAGCATTAGCATAAAACTTTGTATTTTAAGGCTTAAAATGTGCAGTGTTTGTGAGCTTCCCACCCCGCACTCACTTTTTTGCGGGACAGACATAGGTTTTAAGCCCTCGTCCTCAACTATGCTCGTCCCGTCCTATTTTTTGTGGACTTTTACGGAGCGAGCCTAAATGGGGCGGACATGCCCGTTTGTCATCCCTAGGTATAATTCAATTGGATGATAATGTAAAAATAATTTACACTGACAATGCACTACCTTTAATCTCATATATATATATATATATATATATATATATATATATATATATATATATATATATATATATATATATATATATATATATATATATATATATATATATATATATATATATATATATATATATATATATATATTATATGAGAATGTGATAATTTAATAACAACAATTAGATTTAAAATAATGGTTCAGATTAAAATATATTTTTATAAACTGCTTAGTGATTTCTCTTTCTTCTTAAATACGTCAGATTTTTAGCACATAATTAAGTGAAAACAACAGTTTAATCTCAATTATTTCTTTTAAATCTGATGGTTTATATCTATTCTCACATTCTCATATAACTTACTCATTCTCACTATATATATTTGATATATCGAATGTGAGTACAAGTCTTTTACCCAGATTTTTTGGTAAACAAGCTCTAATTTTTTATTAAAGGTTATTTGCAAGATCAATTAGGGAATTCTAGGATATATTGCTAAAATCTTGACAAATTTTAATGTTTGAATTGTAATAATGTGAATTAGGCAAAGAAGTTGAACAAAAGAATCAAAGTACAAAAATGAAAAGTAATTAAAGGGAAAAAAACTTGAAAAGAAATCTTTATATTAAAATGGAAGTAAATTGTTTGGAATTCATAAAATGGAACACATGCATACATTCTCCAGAAATCACACTTTTCTCACTTTAACGAAAATACTTTGAGTTTTTATAGCAATGTATTAGAAATATAGGTTATTACATATTAGTTCTAGTGAGATAGTAGTATATATACTTGTAACCTCCTCATTAGAAGGATACTTTTCACTCATTTGTAATATTCAGTTTTGATCAATACAAAGAGTTTCAAGTTTTTCTTTTCTTCTTTCCATGGATACCGTGTCTCTTAACATGATATCATAGCATATTTAGTATCCACCTTGAAAGTAACTTCCCGCTGCATTTTTTCGAGAAATTCCAATTTTCTCAATTTTTTCCAGTTTCTTCTTGTTCCATTGCTCTTCTCAATTCGTGTTGAAGATTTGTTTTCAATTATGTTTCTCAATATTTCATCTCCATTCAAGCTCTTTATTTAGTTTCAAATTTGAGTCTTCCATCAATTTCATTCACTGAAATTTGCTTCATGATCAATCTATTTCACTGAATAATCATTTTTTTCAATCTCATTTTTCCTTCATCCGATTTGGTTTACTCCTTTATGTAATCAAATTCTTGATCCTTTGTTATGATTTTTGTTCTCATCTTTTTCTCTAAATTCTAGGGTTTGAGATTTCATTTTGATATAATTTATACTATGTTTCTTGTCCCGTGTGATCTTCGATGATGATTCAAGGTGACGAAGATGATAATTTCATTTTTGATGATCCTTTGTATATTTCTTCATTGAGAGCTTGTGGCAGATCATTATTTCATTATGTTGCTTTGATTCTTTGAGTTCATCGACATTGACAATTGTTATTGGTGAGATTATAGTTGGTTCTGGTCTTCCGGTGAACCATTTCTAGTTGCAACTCTTCTCTGTTTCGATAAGGATGGTTATCTAGTTCTTCAGAGGTAGTGAATTATAACTACAAACACCATCGGCATCGTATCGATTTGCATCTTTGCCACTGAGTCGTGGTCTTAAAATTTCCTTTTGAGTTCATTGTCATTCATTGGACGTTAGATTTCTTGCTTTGAAATGTTGAAGGTTAATTTTAATATTCTTGAAGTTTTTTTTGCTCAAGATTAGGTTAATTCATATCTTGATCATGACTTATTATTTGGCCTCCGAATTATGTATTGAGCTAGTTCTGATATAGTGAGTGTTTACAGTGATTTCTGGTAAACAACCGCTAGTCCTCCAAACTATCAAATAATCTTAATGATTGTTATTTAATCTCTCTGGTAACTCGCAGGATCGACTAGATTGATCCTAGGATGTATTGGTCATTTGGATAACTCTCATTATAGAACTGGTATTCATGGTTGGTATTTAGAATGTTGTGTAGGTGTTTAACTTACTTCGATTACTCTATTAAAGATCTAATAACATGATCAAGTAAATGCGCGCGAAACTAAATTGCATGAATAAAGTTCAATTGTAAAGACATATAAAACTGCAGAAAAGACAAGTAAATGACTTCGAAGCATAAAAACATGCAATGTAAAAGATTCTCTGGAATGTAAAAGATTCGAAATATGAAGAAAGCGTTTAAATGCAAGAAAACAGTAAAATGACTTTAAATGAAAAAAGGTGTTCAAATGATAAAGGCATGAAGATAAATGCATGAAATATACAAAAGTTTCTGAAATATAAAGTATTTGAAATGGGAAGAAAACATTTAAAGGTAAGGCATCAGTAAAAAGACTTCGAATGAAAATAGTTGTTTAATGTAAAGGCTTTTAAATGGTATTGACATGAAGATAGAGGAAAATACTGGAAATGATAAAGAGTTTTATTAAATCATAAACACTTGGTGTTATCATACGTACATTGCTCGTGCATTCGTTTCCCTAGCCATGTGGTATTTTGAATGTTTACTGAGTTTTTTGTACAATAGATATGACACACGAAATCCTAATGCTAAGACTTCTATTTATACTACTTCGACCATAACGGTCTTGCTATAAGATTCTGCCACGTTCAGAACATGCAAAGCAATGCCTCTCTCTAGCTTCCACGCGTCTTCGAATGCTCCAGCGCATATATTTTAAATTTCGAACATCCCGCTTGCATTTGAATTTCAAATTTTTTGGCACTTCTTCGATTCGAACGCATTTCTTGGACACAACCTTGTTATCACTTCGAGACTTCTTTTGAAGATATCCTCATAACTGTCACTTGAAGCTCCAAGCTTTGATATGCCCATTCGAAGCACTGCTTCTACCATTTCGAAACATGACATCTTG